ACAAAAATCATGGAATTTAAAATTCCACACTATCTAAGATAGTTATACAACTATCTTAACACAGATACCTGTGTATCTATTATTATATGACAAGTACACAAGAAAAAAAACTTGGAAGTTAAAAAAATGATAAACTAGGGATTTAATTTGACAGAAGATACATACTAAGATATAAAAAATCACTTAGGATAATAAATCACCTTCTGCTACCTGGAGTCTAGCTTACTTAATTCTGCTAGTAAATGTTTTCCAACTATAAAACCTGTAAGCTTTTTGGTGGTAATTTTTAACAACTGATAATGAATCAGCTTCACATACTAAAAAGCAGAAAATTATGTAGTAAAGAAAAGAAAATTATGGTACAACTGTTAAAATTTACCTTTGGATCAAAAGAACCTTTATTTTTGAAAAGAAGTTCTTCAACACTCTCTCTTATTTCCTTTGGAATATTTCGTGCATCAAAGGTTGCAATGTCTTCTCTGATACCTCTTTTAGCAAGGAAACTAAAATTAAAGCATATTAATTCAAAGGAAGTCAAATAAAAATTATTTCTTAAAAAATCAATTTAACAAAATGATACAGGTAATACTTTTAATATATTGTATTAGTTAACATAATTAGAGTACTAAAATTTTAACTTTCTAGTAGCTATCATTTTTTTATAGACAAGAAAGACAACTTTAGAAAGATAAAATAAACTAACCTAATAACATTCTGTGAACAGACTATAACAAGAAGTGAAATGTTAGAACAAGTATTATTGTTCCACTCATATCCTTGTGAACTACTAGATACTCAAATGACCTAGGCCGTACAAGAATACTTTCTGACTCTTTTTTAAAGTATTTTTTCATCCTAAATCTCCTCTCCTATCACCAGATTTAAAAATATTCTTTACTATCAACTTAAATCCCAACTCAGAATTTAATATCAGCACAGACCATAGCATCGATATTACAACAAGAAACGTGAAGCTGAATGTCTCTGTATTAGTTAATACTCATTGCTTTCTAGTCTACATTGCTCATATTATTTAAGCCTTACTCATTTGTCTCTCCATCTCTCTCTCTCTCTCTCTTTTCCTCTTTCCCTCCCTTTCTCCCTTTCCCTTCTTCCTTTCCTCCTCTCTGGCCTTCCCTCTTTTCCTTCCCACCTCACCCCCAAAACGCATACAAGACTGTAGGGACAATAGTGACTATATTTTCTTTAACAGTAAAATCACAGTAAAACCACAAGGCTCTTACTATGAAAGGATCAAATAAATTATTAAACTGAATCAGATATTCTGAAAGATCCTAATGCATTCTTTTCCTACTCTGACACTTTTAACAATCACTTATGGAAAACAAATACATACATCTTCGTATCTTCATATATTACATAAAATATCTTGAAGTTTCAGGGCAACATGTGTAACTATGTATTTAGATAAATGACAATTTGAGAAATACTAATAAAACAAATATTAAAAGCTGTAAAAAGGTTTACTTCTTTGCTGAAATAAAACTTTTCACAAATTCAAAAACTTGCCTTTTCATGCTCACCCAAGAGGTATCAAAAATGCCCATCAACCTTAAAACTCCTTCCAGAATGTCTCGGATTATATCAGGTGGCATACGTAGTGAGCGAATTTCTGAAAGAGATTCTGGCTTAATGTTTCCCACTGCAAGTTTAGCTTCATTAACTAAAGGCTGAAATGAAAAAGGTCACGTTACTTTCAAATTATATATTTTTAAAAAAATCAGTAACTCTACAATGTAATAATGCCATTTTATTCAAATAACTGTCGTTACTAATATTTTGCCTTCAAATATCAAAATGCTCAAATTGAGCAAGTAAACCTTCCCAACACTAAAACTTACATGAGAATCTAATTTATCTTGAGACAATTTGCGTTTTGTTGTTGTTTTTGAGACAGGGTCTCACTTTATAGTAGAAGCAGGCCTCAAACTCACTATATAGCCCAGGCTGGCCTTGAACTCCTGGTATTCTCCTGCCTCAGCACAAGTACTAGGATTACAGGCCTGTGCCACTACAGGCAGCTTAATCTGCTACTCTTAAGAGTCTCTTTATATTTTATGACTAGATGGAAATTTCAGTCAAATAAAATAAAAAGCTTAATAAGCTTAACAGTTTGGCTTTATTTATCTGTAACACATTTGTCTGTAACAATTAATCAACAAGAATCACATAAAAAACTATTTTTTTAAATTACCATAAATTAATTAACTTCCTTTTCTGGTAAGTTTTCTTTCTTGCTTTTCTTCTTATAAGTAATATTTTGGTTGAAACTCATCTTTGATAATAATGTAAGGAAATAACCCGAACCACAACTAATGTTTAACCTCCTACATATAACCAGCAGTCAAAATAATTAATAGATCTTAATACATGTTTTTTTAAACTTACCTGTACTTCTTTTAACTCATCATCAATTTTATTTTTTCTTTCTTCAATTTTATGAACTTCTTCTGCTATTTTATGCTTTAGTCTCTCAAGTTCTGTCTTTTGCTCACTAGCATCCTATAGGAATATTTAAGTGACATTTTAAAATTTTTCATTCCCTAAATATTTTTTTCATTAAGTTTATTGGTACTTTTTAGGTATACAGTACAGTTACACTCATCATTGGGATCTTGTACCTTT